TAAGTTCAGTTCGTTCATATGAACAGAGAGATCTGTAAAAAACATCAAATTGCTTACCCACTTATGATCATTGATCTGAGGAAAGTTTGCCAGATCCTTATTCTCAATAATACCATAATTTCTTCAAAGCACTCCACAAATCGCTCAAGTACTTTACCTCGACTCAGCCATCTCACATTATTGAACATCAGTAGTCCACTGTAGGTTGAATCAACTTCCTGTAAAAGTGCAGAAAATTCTCGCTTGGGAAGGGGTCAAGAAGCTATAAAATTCAAAATTTTTGTTACAACTGACATTAAATCATTCAATTCTGAGAATCCCGATTTGGCACACAACACCTCCTGATGGATAATGCAATGAAAAGCTACAAGTGGATGTCTAATAGCTTCCATAAACAATCTCAGGAATCCCACATTTTTTCCCACCATATTTGGTGCCCCATCTGTCCTGACTGACATAATTTTAGAGATATCAATGTTTAGGTCACTGAATGTTTTTATAACAACCTTACATATTTTGTTTCCTGATGTACTTATTGGCACTGATTCTAACTTTATCAACTCTTCTCTCATTGTGAGACCATCAGAATATCTAGCAATAATGGCCAACCGAGCATTTGATGTGACATCAGTAGTTTCATCAAGAGAAATTGAAAAATATTTACAACTATTTAAGTCTTTTTTTAATTGATGTTGTATGTTTTTGTTAAGATCTATTATTCTGTCTTTGATAGTATTTCTACTGAGTGGTAACTCAGAAATTCTTTTAATAATATCATCTTTATTTTTCATATCGTGAAATAGAGCTGATGCACATCTTAGAAATGTTTCCTTAATAAATTCTCTGTCACTGAGGGCTTTTCCATGCTGAGCTATGGAGTGAGGAATAAAGTAACTTGCTGATGTTAAATTTGTAGAGCATCTTACAAATGTAATGATGGAATTTGATTGACTTTTATAGAGGTGTAGCTTCCTAGAAATGTATTTCTTCCTTTCATCGATACTTTTTTTCAAGAGCTGACAATGATTAGTTTCAAAATGTCTCTTTACATTCCATGTTCTGCTTACTACCGTTTCATTACACAGTATGCACAATGATCTGTTGTTTCTGTCGACAATCCTGTACATTTGGGTCCATATGTCTTGAAAGGGTCGGCTACTGCTACTTCCACTTCCTTTATCATTCAATCTTGCTTTTTTATTTTTTTGATTCTCCATCTCAAGGCTGCAAAAATAAATAAATATAAATCATGGCATTTTTATAAACGGTTGATAGGTTTCTTACCTATTAACTTTTTGCAGTGTTGTTGCACTGACTCCTGGTGCAAAACAATTCAAAGATAGTATGTATAACCAACAAATATATGGTGCTGTAATCAATTATCCGACACGCAGAATGTCTCGTCGAGCACTGTTGCACTGTATATCTTTTTCTTTTAACCCTCCCACTCCTGTCTCCTAACGAACATGGCGGTCAAGTGCATCCGTTTGCCGAATGCACCCGAACGCACGGGAAACTTACCTGAGGGACATGTTGACAATAACGAGGCCGTTTCCAGAATTGGGCATTTTGTCACTCGAGTAAAAATAAAATGTCATGCCCTGGCCAGTTTGGCTGAGTGGATAGAGCGTTGGCCTGCGGACTGGGGGGTTCCGGGTTCGATTCTGGTCAAGGGCATGTACGTTGGTTGCGGGCACATCCCCAGTGGGAGGTGTGCAGGGGGCAGCTGATCGATGTTTCTCTCTCATCGATGTTTCTAACTCTCTATCCCTCTCCCTTCCTCTCTATAAAAAATCAATAAAATATATATAAAAAAATAAATAAAATGTCATGAGTAAAGATTAATCTCTTTATAGTGCAATTCTTAACCTTTTTATATTAATGTCAATATTGGAACAATGTATCTTGGATGTTTTCACTATGTATCTTTGCTACCCAACACCGATGTACATGTTTACATCCGGTTTTAGAATTGCGTTATTGATCATGAGTAACGTGAGTAATAATATTACTCGAGTGATGCCCAACTCTGGCCATTGTGAGAGACAAATATTTGAATTATGCAATTTTTTGTCTCTGTCGATGCGTGTCACCCAAAATGAGTTCGCGTGTCACCTCTGACACGCATATCATAGGTTCGCCATCACTGAGCTAGACAGAGGTGAGGGTCGGGTGGTTTATGTCTTTCTCAATGGAGCATGAAAAGACCACAGGAATTGCCCTGGCCTGTTTGGCTCAGAGGATAGAGCATCAGCCTGTGGACTGAAGGGTCCCAGGTTCAATTCCGGTTGGGGACATATGCCTGGGTTGTGGGCTCAATCCCCAGTAGGGGGTGTGCAGGAAGCAGCCGATCAATCATATTCTCTCTCTCTCTCTCCCTTTTCTTCCTCTCTGCAATCAATAAAAATTAAAAAAAAAAAAGAAAAGACCACGGGAATTAAATCGTAGTGAATGGTGTCCTGTCCCCACCATTGCCCCTTACCAGCTGTTTAACCATACCGCTCTTAGCTGCAGTTTCTTCACCAGCGGAATGGAGTTAGTGAGTTCACCTTACTCATAGGGTAAGGACTCGGTGGGATTTAAATGTGGTTGGAAGCAAGGCATTCAGCACACAACCTTCTTTCTCTGTTAAAAGTGAACCACACCGTCATTGTTTATGTTGCTCCTGCCGCTACGCACCACTGCATCTAGTGTAAGAAACAAAAGAAGCTATGGATTAATTTTTTAAGAATTATGAATAGCCAGGGTTAGGCACTCGTTCTTTGCACTCCCAGTACCTAGCTCTGTGCTTGCTTATAACATAGCAGTGGGTGGTTCTCACACACGCACACATACACACACACACACACACACACACACACACACACACACGGCAGGATTAATGTTGACTCTTCTGAGCTAAGAACTGGTGTCCCCTGATTCTTGTCCAGGCTGTGTCCCTTTGATCAAATGACCACTCTTTGTTGAAAGAGAGAAAAAGGGAGAGAGAGAACGGCCGCTGGCTGTACGGCTCAGGACAAAATCTGACTTCAGTCTTCACTATGGCTCCTAGGTTTGTGTACAATTAATGTAAACTTCTCCCAGCATAACTTTAGTTACTAATAAAGGGGATGTAGGAAAGAGAGAGAGATCACATGATTCTCTTGTAAGATTCCTTCCTTCATGTTCCTTTATGAAGTAAGTATACTCTGAATATGAAAATATTCTGAGAACTGGAAGTTCTATAATATGTACATGTATATGTAAAAGCTGGTATGAATATGATTTCTAGATGGATTCAAAAAGAGTAACTGTTGTGTAAACACTCGTTCAAAAATATTTTTTGAATGCTTGCCGGTGCCGGGCTGTTCTGGGTATTGGAAGTAGAACAACGAATGAAGCAGGTAAACCCCTGTCTTCATAGAACTTACATTCTAGGTGGGAGAGACAGACAATAAAGAAGATGAATAATAAAATTAGTAACGTGGTAAATGGTGACTAAGAGCTACAGAGAATAAAAGCAGGCAAAGGAATAGGGAGGGTCAGGGTGTAGAAATTTTATTCAGGTTGGAATTATTTATTTCCTCTCCCATCCCTACCATGATCAAGATTCATAACCCAGTAACTTTGCCTTTAGAGTCACATCTAAATGATAGGTCAGTTAGGTAAAAAAAAAAAAAAAAAAGGCAAAAAGAAGTCTGATGTGTTTCATCAAAACTTCTAATTTAGTTCGTGTTTCTGTCAGCCATATTCACAAAAATTACTTTAAAATACTAAAAATACAAATGGACATCATCCTTATCTGGTAGTCCTAATTTTACAATCCTTTTTATAACTGAATCTTAATAAATACATAAATATTTAAAAATCCAAAAGACCAAACGCAACAACCTGTATAATTTACCAGCATCAGCCTGTGAACATACTGTTTGTTTCTATGTTACCTAAAAATACCAGTTGCTTTTGAAGCTGAAAGATTAAATCCAAGCGACATTACCGAAGTTAATTGGAAAATGATTTTCCCTTCTAAATGTTTGTGTAAAACGTAAATATTATTAAGAGGGCAGATTAGGCCAGTTTGATACTGATTTTCATACACAAACGAAGGGCAAATAGAAGGATTCCGGTAGTTCCGATCCCCTGTCCAGAGCCGCTTGGAAGTTGTTTATTCTTTGAGGGCCCAGGGCTGACGTCTGCTCACGGAGTAATGTCATCACATTTCCTGGGGGTGGTGATGGGGGGCGGGGGGCGGCCGTGGTAAGCAGTTGTTGGACTTGAGGTCCTGAGAGCCGGACATACCCCCTGGGCAGGATGTAAGGTCAGCATGCAGTCCACTGAGTAAATAAAGTGTTCGGTGGTAAAATAGAACTGCCAAAACAGTAACATCTTAAAAAGATATTTCTAAACTTACACGGAGGCAGCATTCATCATTATTAAAAATTAACCTGTAGCTTCTTTTGTTTCTTGCACTGGATGCAGCGGTGAGTCGCTGTCATCGTTGAGACAGAAAGTTATGCTGTCCTTGGCCTGTACCAGCTGCTGCCTCCCCCCGTCTGGGTAACATGTACAGTCGTTCCTGGGAGGGAAGCTCTGGCCCTGAGCCAGCACACTTTCCTCTGGGCCCTCAGCTGGTGACCAACACTGTGTACTCACATACATGTATTTTTTTTTTAAACCGTACTAGTCATTAGCATTTGATATTGTCATTAATTACTGCCTTTAACTTTATTTTTTCTTCCCGTTTTCCTTAATTTTGCACTGTTGATTTTCTCAAACGGAGACTCGGAAGCTTACTTACTTAACTCTTGTTTCATGACAAGTCACACACAGTGAGGAAAAGGAAAGCCGGGACCCACTCAGTTCACTTCCCCTCCCTGCGCTGCACCTTCCCGGGTTCTGGGGAGACCCTGGGGATCCTCTGTGTAATAATTGTTCACTCTCGGTAATTTTTCTCTAGGAGTTTCAGTTCCATCTGAGCTCTGATTAGAGACAGAAAGTTTAAGCAAGTCTTTTTCTTGCAGAGACCAACATCTCACGTGCAGTTTGGCCCCATGAGGTTTCATGCAGATCAACTCCAGGTAATTATAAACCCTGCTGTCATTTTCTCATGTTGGTTTTCTTTAAAGAGGTGGGGAGGGAAAGGGCCTCAAGTTATACATTGAAATTAGTCTTCTGAGTCAGATAACAATATCAGTACTATATTATCTAAGAGAGTGTATGTTTCTTAGAAATGCGCATTGGACTATTTATAGATGAAGAAATATCTGTGACCTACTTTAAAAAGTTCAGTAAAATAAAGAATGTATATAATTGGGCGTGTGTGGAGTGAGGGCGTGGGGGAGGGGGAGAAAGTAAAGGTGGCAAATTTTAATTTTTTTTCTTATTTCAGGGAGGAAGGGAGAAGGAGAGAGAGATAGGAACATCAATGATAAGCGAGAATCATTAATTGGCTGCCTCCTGCACACCCCCAACTGGGGGTCAAGTTTGGAACCCGGGCACGTTCCCTGACTGGGAATCGAACCGTGACCTCCTGGTTCATGGGTCGATGCTCAACCACTGAGCCACACTGGCTGGGCAAAAGGTGGCAGAATTTTAACAACTGATGAAACTAGAAGAAGTGTATACTAGCGTTCATTGTCATTCACAACTTGCCTGTAGGTTTGAAATTTTCTGATATAAAAACATAAAAGCATGTGCTTCCCTGTGTTTCTGAATAGTTGTTATCAGAGAAAAATACCTGTAAATTATTTAATCCAAAATGTTAGACAAAAACAACCAATTGAAATTTAGCCCCAAAGTTCTTTGATGTTTCCCACACGCAGACACATGTTCACTGTTTCATTTTTTTTAAATGGGAAGAGACTAGCAGAGACGTGCTCTCTTAGTTCTTTGCACTTGGAGTATTTGTGCACATGGTCAGCTTAGAGGAACTAGTAAGCCTTGGGCACAGGCTTTCTCTCAGCTCTGTGGCCTGTTTAATCACAGGCTGCCCTGCCTCTCCCTTACCACCCTGGCTCCCAGGAGTCAGTCTGGGTCTAAAGGGGATGCTGCTTTGTGCTGTTGAACCACATCTATGGGGGGTGGGGGGCTGGCTGGATAGGGGGAGCAGCAGATCCAGGCCTCACCTCACCCAGGCCAGGCCTGGGGTCAGCCAGCGGCATCCCAGGCACAGACACTGCCTCTTGCTCCTGGTGCTATTCCTGTGTCACTTCACTGACAGGTTGCGAACTATAATATTTCTGTCTGCTTAAAATTTTCTCTTTTAATCAAAACTAGAGGTCCAGTGCACAAAAATTTGTGCACTGGCGGGGGGAGGGGTGTGTCCCTCAGCCCCACTTGTGCCCTCTCACAGTCTGGGACCCCTCGGGAGATAACCACCTGCTGACTTAGGCCCGCTTCCCAGGTAGCAGATGGCAGGCCCGATCTCTAGGTGCCTGCCCCGCCTCCCCGGGTCGCGCACAGGGCAGGGCCGTTGGGGGGTTGGGGTGCTGCCCCGGGTCGAGCACAGGTCAGGGCCAGGGCCAATGGGTTGGGGTGCCGCCCCGGGTCATGCACTCAGCAGGGCCGATCGGGGGCTTGGGGCCTCGCGCACAGGGCAGGGCCAATCCGGGGGTTGGCGTGCCTCCCCGGGTCGCACACAGGACGCCTGGGCAGGCCAGCAGATTGCTGTTGCCCCACCCGGCTGCCCCGGATGGGTCACACACGGGACCCCCGCCGCCCAGGATCGCAGATAGCAGGCCCAGATGGTGGCAGGGCAGGTGGGATGGCGCTGTCCCACCCTGCCTGCAGTATGCAAATTAGCCACCATCATTGTTAGCGGTTAATTTGCATATCATGCTGATTAGCCAATGGGAGGCATAGCGAAGATACGGTCAATTACCATGTTTGTCTATTATTAGATAGGATTTTTTTTCAACTTGGAGGCATTACATTGAGTCAGAACATTTAAATACATTATACAGCCCTAAACGGTTTGGCTCAGCGGATAGAGCGTCGGCCTGCGGACTCAAGGGTCCCAGGTTCAATTCCAGTCAAGGGCATGTACCTTGGTTGTGGGCACATCCCCAGTAGGGGGCGTGCAAGAGGCAGCTGATCAATGTTCCTCTCTCATTGATGTTTCTAACTCTCTATCCCTATCCCCTCCTCTCTGTAAAAAATCAATAAAATATGTTTAAAAAATTTAAAAAAATACATTATATAAAGTATTAAGTGTTCCAGGAGTTTGACTGAAATATTAGCATTTCCCATCTAAGGACTCCCTAGTTAACTTACTGTTAACTAAAACAAATATTTGTGTCGTTGAATTGGTTTAATTTCAAGATAAAGTGCTTGATCAGTCCTTGGTTGCGTTCTGCCAGAGGTTTACTAGCAAAAGAAGGAGTATGTGATCCATGCACTAGGACTGTGGTCGGCAAACTGCGGCTCATGAGCCACATGCGGCTCTTTGGCCCCTTGAGTGTGGCTCTTCCTAAGCCTTAGTATGGGGCGCGGTTACAGTGTTTCGGCCAGGTTCAAGCCTCGGACTAATGAAAGGACAGGGTCCTCTCATTGCCACGTGCAGGGCCCTCCCAGCACAATTATAGCCAACGGCTGTGGTTGTAAGCTTGAACCTATGGTCCAAACACGTAGCCCCACGTACCTTGTGCTAGAGTTCAGGTGCATGTAGTTGAGTGAGGTTGGAACTCACGAGAAAGCTGTAAACAACGTGATCATGTCCCTACTTTGCCTCGTGGCATCTGCTATAAAATAAAGACACGGCTTGTGGGCGCTGGCGCTGTCTCCTCATCAGGAAGCAGCGTCCCACCGAGAGCCAGCTTTCATTCTCTTGTCTGTCTTTCCTTAATCCTTCCCTGCCCCCCCCCACTCAGTTTACCTTTGGCCTCAACACCTTAGGAGTACCCTAATTAAGTGAATAACAATGTACCTACCTATATAGTTTAAGTTTAAAAAATGTGGCTCTCAAAAGAGATTTCAGTCGTTGTACTGTTGATATTTGGCTCTGTTGACTAATGAGTTTGCCGACCACTGGCCTAGGACGTCCAGGTAGAATAGCCCAGCTTTCCAGGAGCCGAGTGATCCGGCCCCTGAGTTACATGGGGGAGACGGTTTATATCAACAGATTATGTTCACAGCGGTGTGCTTGCCGTAAAACACGTGGGAGTTTCTGTGGCTGGTTAAGAAATGATATTCCAACCTCTTTTTTTTTTTTTAAGTGTTTATGCTTTTTTGATTCAGGTACTTTTAGTGTTTGTCAGAGACGACAGCCAGTGTAAAGGATTCCGTAAGGCGTGTGAAAAAGCAGGGTTTAAGTACACGCTGGCCCTGGAGGTCCAGGCTGTCCTGACCTGTTTCCTGGCTGCCAATCACGACATCATCATCATCGACCACAGAAACCCCCAGCAGCTGGACGCCCTGACGCTGTGCAGGTAAGCCCGAGACTCGGGCCCACGTGCTAAGTGGGCCGGGCGCTTGTGACAGTAATGCCACCCAGAAATATATTAAGTTAAATTCCGTGTCCTTTAAGTTGCCTTCCACGCATGTAAAGTAAACAAGACCATAGCATTATTTCTAGGACTGATCTTTACCGGCTGGTCTTTGCCTCTGGCTTTGTTAAAAATGGTAAGAAAGGATGAATTCTAACCATTAAGTGTTCGGATGAAATCTCATATGTAACCACAACTGTCACCTGCATGTTATTGCAACAAGTTATTATAACTTCCCATATGTTTGACAGTTGCCCTCTAGCGTTAGGTGAATGTGCCTGGTTTAAAATACTTGCAGAAGATCAGTAGGATGAGAGAATTCTGGTCTTTCCCATCGTGTCCGGGCCCAGCCCTAGCCACAGGCGTGTCTGGATGATGGACACGCTGCTGGGTCATCCTTGTTGTAAAATAAAGGTTAGGTTATAGTTACGCTGCACTTCTTTATTGTGGTAAAATATACAGAACACAGAATTCTGCTCTACCTGTTAAGGGAGGAAAATGTACAATTGTTACACATTTTGGGAATTTTCTAAAAAATTGGATTAATTCATCCAGCAAATTTTTCTTGATATATAGATTAAAATTCTATATAATTTTAAAATAAGGAATGTGAACGGGGTTGCTTACGCTGTGGTTTCCTAAGTCAGTTTCATCTTGATCCTGGCCCTTCCCTGGTTTATTTCCAGGCTCTCCCTCCTGATCCGCTCGCTCGCTCTCTCCTCGCCGCCTTAACACAACTCCCGCGAGTGTCGCCCTGGCAGAGCCCTGCCTTTCCCATCAGCCTCCGTGTGGGCACCTACCCACAGGGCCTGTGGAAGGCCTTTCATCAGTTGCTGACTTGTCTAAATGACTAGCTTTCACCTGTGTCTCTTTGTTGGGGATGCTTATAACTCCTTACACTCGATCAGGTGCCTTGTGGAAGGCCAGTTACTCTGTCTGCTATACTTCCAGTCGAGGACCCTGTCGTGCATGTCTCCTCAGTTCTGGGCACCATTTGGTATTAGAGCCACATGGGTGAGGAGATGTGGGTCTTGCCTCTGAGGAGCGGAGGCCGTAGTTGGCAGGACCAGAGAGTGATGTCAGCACAGGCACATCTATGCCCAGAGGGTGCACATCCAAGTGCTGCAGGGCGCGTGTCAGGGCGGCTCCACACGGGACATGTGGGCCGAGTCCTGACGGACGGGCAGGAGATTGGAAAGGAAGAGAGGGGGGAAACGTTCCAGGTAGGGGAGCAGCATTTGTAGGGGCAGGCAGGGTGTCTGGGGCGCCTCTACTCCGGTGGGTTGGATGGCTGCTGGGCCGGGCAGGGATGGGATGGGGCTCGGGCTGCAGGCATGAGCCCGGTCATGTGGGCTTCGTGGGCTTCGCCCAAGGCCTTGGACTTCACCCCTCGGTGAAGACCTGGCGTGTTCTGTGCAGGTGAGCGGCAAGAGCAGAATGGAAGGTCCTTCCGGCCGCCAGCTGGGAGGGGCCGAGGCAAGTCAGCCGCTTGTGCGACTGTCACCGGCCATGCTGTGTGGTGCCTGTTGGCAGCACCTCCTCCCAGCTCCTGTCAGAAAACCCAGGAGGCAGGACTGACCCAGCAGTTAAAGAGCCAAAGTGAAGATGGCAGAGAAGTCGGAAGCCGGGAGAACGGGAAGGGCCAACGCAGCCAAGAGGGGTCCAGAGCGCAGGGAGCCTGTGCTCCCCTCGTCCTCTCCCTGCTTCCGTTGTTCCACCAGAACTGCTAAGCGTTTTTAGTTTTTAAAGAATTGTTTTAAACTCATTTTAAAATTTGTTTTTTTGATAGGTCTATTCGAGCCACAAAAGTTTCAGAAAACACAGTTATTGTTGGTGTAGTATGCAGGTAAGCTTGCTTTCTTTTTGTTTTTTTTTTTACTTTGAAATTTGTGTGTTAACATCATGCTTGCTCTTAACAGAGGCCTGAATAACAGCTTGCAGGCTGTCCGGCATGACCCTTCTAGTTTGGCCCATTCTTTTTTATTCTGTCTTATTTTCTTTTGCTTTGCCAGTTAATTTCATGTGAGAGTTTCTACTTTCATGCTTGGACTGCCTTTCACTTTAGAAATACGCACAGCACTAGAGAATTCCATGTTTTCCAGGGCTATCCTCCTAGGGCACCTAACTCCAAATATATATATATGAAGATTTAGAATTATACATAAATGGAAGAAATCTTCCATTTCATCCTTAAGTTGGAAGTAAGGAAAGGATAAAAATACGTGAGAAGGGCAGTATTCAAATAAATGTTACTTAGCTTACATATTTTTATAGATAGGAGAAATGTTGCTGTGCCCTTTAAACTATTTCTCTGAGCCTTGTTGGGGGGAGAAGGGCTTTTAAAATTATTTATTTATTGGCTTATAACATTGTATACATTTCAGGTGTGCAACATCTGCATATACTACATCTTGCTCATGGCCAAACTCTAGTTTCCTTCTATCACCGTAGTATTGACCCCTTTACCTGTTTTACCTTCCCTATTGGATTAAAAAAAAATAAACAGGCAGTAAAATAAAATAGGAAAGAATTTAGTTTAAAATGTTTACATATCAAATAGATAATGTGGTTACTCTTGTATTCTGGCTGTTAGTGTAACTTGCTATATTTCAACTATTAATATATACTGTCAAAAAAGCTACATACAAAACTAAAACAGAAAACTTTTTAATTGTATACTTTTGATTTGTATGTTACTCTGATTCATCTAAAAGTACTCATTATAGGACAGTCACCGTGTTACGAGAATCAGTGCATGAAGAGGTGCACTGTGATCGATAAGAATCGTCTCTAACCACTTGCTCTGTCCTTTTGAAGGCGGGACGGAGAAGAGTCTGTGATGTCGCTCATTAGTGCCGGCTTCACGAGGGTACGTACCCCTTCTTCATTGTGCAGGTGTGGTGCAGCGTGAGGGAGTATGTTATCTTAGTTCAGAGCGAGCAACTGAATGAATTTGAAGAGGAAAAATGTGTTGTCCTTGTGCTGTGTTTAATTCTATGACCTGGTAATGATTACATCTACGGTACCTAGCTTTCTTAGTCTCTCCAAGGTATGCCTGTTGCCATGGCTGTGTGCCTCCGTGGTTTAGTGTGTCGGCCCGTGCACAGAAAGATGGCAGTTTCAATTTCCGGTCAGGGGCACGTACCTGAGTTGCAGGCTCGACCTTGACCCCAGCCCGGCCCTGATTGGGGCACACGTAGGAGGCAACCAGTTCATGTGTCTCTCTCACATCGATGTTTCTCTCTCTCTGCCTTCCTTTCCTCCCCCCTCTTTCATTCCCTCCCTTCCACTCTCTGTCTAAAAATCAATGGAAAAAATATCCTCAGGTGAGGATTAACAAACAAACAAAAACCAAACAAAAAACCTATGCCTGGTAAAGTCATCTTTAATGGCATAGTCATTAAAAGTTATACCAGCCTGGCCGGAGTGGCTCAGTGGTTGAGCGTCGACCTAGGAACCAAGAGGTCATGGTTCAATTCCCAGTCAAGGGCACATGCCCGGGTTGCAGGTTCGATCCCCGGTGTAGAGCGTGCAGGAGGCAGCCAATCAATGATTCTTTCTCATCATTGATGTTTCTCCCTTCCTCTCCCTCCCTCTCTGAAATCAATTAAAAAAAATAGTTATACCACAGGAGTGTTTTTATAATGCCTTAAAGTCAGTTCAAGGATCCTGGAAATAAGGCAACCCAAACACAGCTCCCTTCTCTCCACCCCCAGATCCGGTCAACTGGTTTCTCCTGAGCCCAAAGGCTGGAGGTGTTGGGCCGCTGGTTGCCTTGGGAATCAGGGGGAGAGAACCAGATTTGTAGCCCAAATTTATATCAGTGAAGTAGAGGTAGTCAAGAAACCTCAGCCAATGAATTGCGCTTCAAGGGTTCTGGGTGATAGTACCCCCAGGCCCCTGCAGGAGCCGTAAGATCCTCCCCAGAGGCAGACCCTGCATTGGCCTCCGAGGATCTCACCCACAGCGGTTGGAGGCAGCACTCAGTGACAGCTCAGTGCTCACAGGAGGAAAGGCACCAGGAGTGCGCACTGGTGGGGAGGCCGTGGAAACACACCCTCACGCTCCTCAGATACGAGGGTTATCAGATGAGACTTTAAAGCAATTATGCTCATTATATGTAAAGAAATAAAAGCTTGGAAATACCTGCAAGGGGTAGGAAGCTATAAAGTGACATAGCAGATTCTAAGCAGAGCGTGGAATTTTGAGAAATGAGCACATAATAAATGAAAATCTTAAAACTTAGACAGTAAATCAGGAAAAATTCTTCCACATGTAGCACAGAGATAAATAGCATATAGTTAGAGCCTGAGAAATGTGGAGCTAGAGATACAGGCTTAACAAGTACAAAAGGACAGGAGGAGAATGGGCAGAGGTCATGTTTGAAGAGCATTTTCCAGGATGGACGAAAGACTAATCCACAGACAAAAATTCCAACAAATCCAAAATAAGAGTCAATAAAAAGAGGATATATCATAGTGAAAAAAGTAAAATAGAAGAGCTTAAAGTCAGCCAGAGAAAACATTAAAAAGAATGACAGGCTAACAGGTAGCTTCTAGCAGCGATACATGAAAATAGCACACAGTGAAATCATATTTTCAATATGATAACATAACTGCCAACCTAGAACGTTATACCTGGCACAGATACCTTTCAGAAATGAGGTGGAAGTACAGACTTTGAGAAACAGGAAGCATGAGAGAGTCTGTAACTAGAAAATCCTCACAAGGACATTCTAAAGGCTGTACCTCGGGCAGAAGGAAGGTGAATGCCAGAAGGAAGGCCAGAAATGCAAGAAGGGATGGCGAGCAAGAAAATGGTGAATGTGGGGTGAACCTAACTCACATTCCCTGTGTAACACAGTAATGACAACGTCTAGAGATTACACCTAGGAGAGGTGCAAGCTGAGAAGCATACCCCAGCCGGGTGGCTGGGCTGTTTCCCTCAGAGCCCAGTCTGGGGAAAATATGAGCAAGGACTCCAGCCACACAACGGATGAACTAGAACAGGAGCTTTAAGATGAGGGAGGATGCAGTGGCAAGGAAACCTGGTGAGTGACAGACCTGCTGTGGGCACGTGCTGTTTCTTTTCTTCTCTGCATATGTACATACACAGGTGTGCATATGTGTTGTATGTAATTATATGACATTCGAGGCCCGGTGCATGAATTCGTGCATGGGTGGGGTCCCTCTGGGTGGCCTGCAGGGATCGGGCCAAAACCTACAGTCCAACGCCGCCTGCAGCTCCTACCTGCCGCTCCCGCTCATCCCGGCCCCACTGTGCCTGCCGTGGGCTCGTACCCAAACAGTCCCGATCATGCAAGGCTCGCACTGCTGCAGCGCTCGCCAGCCATGAACCCCGCTCCCAAGGGGAGTGGCCTGCGGGATCCGGCTGAAACCAGCTCTCCAACATCCCCCGAGGGGTCCTGGGTTGGGAGAGGGCGCAGGCCAGGCTGAGGGACCCCACTGGTGCGTGATCAGGCCGGGGAGGGACCACGGGAGGACTCCAGGGCATGTCCAGCCCATCTCACTCAGTCCAGATCGGCCGGACCCCAGCAGCAAGCTACTGGTCGGAACATCTGCCCCCTGGTGGTAAGTGCACGTCATAGCAACTGGTCAACCTGTCTGCCCCTGGTGGTCAGTGTACATCATAGCAAGCGGTTGAGCAGCCTTAGCATATCATTAGCATACAAACAGCCCTCTGGTTACGTCAGACTCTACCTCGTTTCCTGGTTACATCGCCATCTCCCATTTATTTATTAAAAAAAAAAAGTTCCGTCATTTCCACGTATGTACATATGTGCTTTATGTTTTTTATTATTTATTTACCACAAGTAAAGGTAAGGAATTATCTTTCTTTTAATTTTTTTTTACTGTTTCACTTCATTACTGCTGTGTATGTGCTCCATGTGAGTGACGTAGGTGCTTATGTAGGTGGGTTCCAACTTACAGCGAAAGTCGCATTACATCACGCCTTAGGAATGGATCTCCGATGTAACCCAAGGACCTACTGTATTACGCTTTGATTGGTTGTTCGGTTCTGTCATTCAGTCTATTTGCATATTACCCTTTTATTATAAAGAACTAGTGGCCCGTTGCACGAAGATTCACGCAATAGGCCTTCCTTCCCCTGGCTTCTGGCACCGGTTTTCCTCCGGCACCGGGCCCAGGCCTTTGGTCCGGCCACAGCAGTGAGGCTTGGCTTCTCCACTCTGGCTGCTCCCAGTCCCTCTTTTTTTTTTTTCCAGCTCCTTGAGTGGAGCCCAGGACGGGCTGGAGGCCTGGGTTGCCCCTGGGGACCAAGGCCCCCAGCCCCTCCTTGAGCAGAGTTCAGGGCCGGCGGGAAGCTTGGCTTCCCCTGTCGCTGGGAGCAACCCAAGCCTTGTGCTTGCTCCAGCTCCGTGGCCGCCGCCATCTTCACTCGTCTTCAGTCTTTGCTCCGTGCCTGCGTATGCAAATTAACCGCCATCTTTGTTGGGTTAATATGCATAGTCACTCTGATTGGCTGGTGGGTGTAGCGGAGTGATGGTTAATTTGCATGTTTCTCTTTTATTAGTGTAGAATATACATAAACAAAATATACAATGGGGCCTTGACTTACGAGTGTCCCGACTAACGAGTTTTTCGAGATACGAGCCCTCGGCCAATTTTTTGCTTTGAGTTGCGAGCTAAAATTCGGGTTACATACGAGCCAGCTTCAGATACCTCACCGCTAGTTGGCGCAGCGTACGTCACAGTGATTTGACATACGAGTAATTTGAGTTACAAGCTCTGTCACGGAACGAATTAAACTCGTAAGTCAAGGCCCCACTGTATCTGTGTAGACCCAGGTTAAACAATATAGACTGACATAAATAATACTCTTCTAACAGAAGGGACATACCAGAAGAGACATTTTATTTATTTTTATTTTTTTATTTTTTAAATATATTTTATTGATTTTTTACAGAGAAGAAGGGAGAGGGATAGAGAGTTAGAAACATCGATGAGAGAGAAACATCGATCAGCTGCCTCCTGCATGCCCCCCAGTGGGGATGTGCCCGCAACCAAGGTACATGCCCTTGCCCGGAATCGAACCTGGGACCCTTGAGTCCGCAGGCCGACGCTCCATCCACTGAGCCAAACCGGTTCGGCTGGAAGAGACATTTTAATAATGGCTCAATATTTAAATCCCTCAATATTTATATCTTAGCCAACGCTGTGTGTCCTCAGGGTTGTGGGAGGAGGTGGAGATTAAGTATTCTCATGGCCTTTATCGGGCAGACATAGAATGGGGGTGGGCGGTGAGTGTAGTCTGACATTTCGTCTTTGTGGGAAAGGTCACACCACAGCATTGCTTTGGGGAGCTGCTTTGTAATTGGTATCCTGTTTTCAAGTAATAGTAATGAAATCTCGGTCTGCTTTTGAGGTCAGTGAGAAGTAAGTAACCATTAATAGAAGAGAAAAGTTTAATAAGCCTTCCAAGCTAACAAGAGGACATAATAGCCCCAGCTGGTTTGGCTCAATGGATAGAGCCTGCGGACTGAAGGGTCCCAGGTTCCCTTCCGGTCCAGGGCACATGCCCGGGTAGTAGGCTCGATCCCCAGTGGGGGGTGTGCAGGAGGCAGCCGATCAATGACTCCTTCTCATCATTGATGTTTCTCTCTCTCCCCCTCCCTTCCTCTCTGAAATCAATAAATCTATTTTTTTTTTAAAAGAGGACACATGGAATTTACAACAACTTGATTAAAGTGGCAGACAGAAAGGGGAAACAATGGTGTGAACTCAGTCATAAACACAACGTGAGATAGGGGTAAAATCAGATGCATGCGAAGGGACTGAATTTTCATTGAAAGATAAGGAGGGCCCTAGCTGGTGTGGCTCAGTGGATAGAGCGTTGGCCTGTGGACTGAAGGGTCCCTGGTTCGATTCCAGTCAAGGGCACATGCCCGGGTTATGGGCTTGATCCCCAGTGTGGGGTGTGCAGGAGGCAGCTGATCCATGATTCTCTCTCATCATTGATGTTTCTATCTCTCTCTCCCTCTCCCTCTCTGAAATCAATAAAAATATATTTTAAAAAAAAGATAGGGAGGGAAATTGGGGACTGCTGGCCACGAACATGTAGGTCCTCATTCGCGCCAACACAGCTCTTCTCACCGCGGAAATGAGAGCGAGGTGGCGGGCCTAGCAGCCCCTCTCCTGAGGGGAAGAGTGCTGGCTGCTGTTCACTCACCAGTCAGCCCTGGCTCCACAGAGCACCGAGGAGCCTGCCTGCCTGCACAGGTGCCGCTGCTCACCGCAGGAGGAGAGCCCCGGGCACGCCGCTTGTGCCCCTGCCCACGCGAAGTCAAGGCGCGGGAGGCTTGAGGTGCACTGGGGTCCCCAGCCGTCCAAGGCCTTGGCTGGCCTCACCTCCCTGGAGGTGCGATCTGGGGCCGTGGAGACAGGTCAGCAGGTGGCCTCCTGTGCACATCCCTGGTTTTCACTGGGTGGGAAGATCCACGCTCTTCTACCCGGAGGTGGACGTCCAGGTTGGGGAGCACGTGTGAACCACAGCCTCTTGCTCCCTCTGTCTGGAGGGTAAGCTTTTGTCGGCTTAGTTGGGCCACGGTGAGAGGTCAGTGAAGGAAAACGTTGCTGAGTGGGGGTTACCGCGTGAAATCCAGGTGCAAAGAGAGATGCACGCATTTTTCTTGCATATTATTGGTGTGTATAACTTTAAAGAGGACAACATACTGCTCTTCAGTAAGTGAATATGCTCAGAAAGTTTGCGTAGGACTTTGGTAAATTCCTTTCTACATATTCTAGCCTCTGCTATGACACGGACACGATCCACATCCTCTTATTTCAGTGACCAAGTGGGGAGTCTGTTGGAAAGAATTACTTTACGGGTAGACATACTAACTGAAAGGCGCACGCTGTTCAGCCACAACCCCCTTTCTGTCGCAGAGGTACGTGGAGAACCCCAGCCTCCTGGCCTGTTACGCGGAGCTGCTGCAGCTGGAGTTTGGAGAGGTGCGGTCACAGCTGAAACTCAGGTAATTCTGCCTCTGGAGGCCCCCGCTCCACACAGGGCAGTCGCCAGTGAGCACCGGCAGGATGGCTGCCTTCTGGGGGTAGCTGACCTCCTGCCAAGATGGAGGGGGTGAGGGAGCGGCTCCTCTCCACACACAGACATTCGGAGTCTGCGTGGGCGTCTGTCAGTGGTCATGTTGGCAACTGGAGACTCAGATGTAAAGATGGGGCTGCAGCCGGCCAGCGTGGCTCAGTGGTTCAGCATTGACCTATGAACCAGGAGGTCACAGTTCAATTCCCGTGGGCACATGCCTGGGTTGTGGGCTGGATCCCCAGTGTGGGGCGTGCAGGAGGCAGCTGACCGATGATTCTCTCTCATCATTGATGTTTCTCTCTCTCTCCCTCTCTCCCTCTCCCCTCCTCTCCGAAATCAATAAAAAAAATATATATTTTTTTAAATGGAAACACTGGATAAAAAAAAAAGAGAGAAAGGACATGATCAGGCAGTTCATAGGGGATGTATATTAATTGCCAGTAAACATGAAAAGGTGTTCAACTTCACCAGTACTAAAACAAATGAAAATTATATACCATGTTTTATTTATCAGATCTGTAAAAACTTCCAAAGGGTGATAAAGCCAGTAGGGCTTCTCACAGGTCCATCTTCTCCAAACTTGTTGCAACCAGAGGCGGGAACTTCTTTTTTTTTTTTTTTTTTAATCCTCACTTGAGGATATTTTTCCATTGATTTTTTTTTTTTTTTTTTGAGAGAGAGAGAGTGTGGAAGGTAAGGGAGACACATTGATTGTGTCTCCTGCACATGCCTCACCCAGGGCCGGGGGCCAAGCCTGCAGCTGAGATACGTACCCTTGACTGGGAATCAAACCCTGGACCCTTCAGTCCGAAGCCTGATGCTCTGACCACCTCACACACCGGCCAGGGCTGTTCCCCTTCTTTTTTGATTTAGCATCCGTTACCTTTATAATCAGCCAAAAGACACCTTTAAATACGTGAGTGTAACACCCCAAGGTTGTATTAGGTTTTGTAGTGTTTACATTAATCCACCCTTTTTTCCTCTCCATAAAGGGCTTGTAAATCAGTATTCACTGCACTAGATAAAAGCCAAGATGCCATTAAAATCACGAGTGAGGACAACTACATACAGGTGGGTTGTTTGGGAGTTCTGTCCTTCTGGGTCTCTGGTTTTGCTTGTTCTCGTTTTTAGAATTGAAACCCTCCAGTAAGATTTTTCTTTTTCTTTTTGAAGTTCAAGAGACCAGGTTTTCCATAGAGGATGATCAGAACGAAATCTCTAAGAGATGTAATTTACAATAAGTGCCCTCTAGATACGAAGAGGCCCAGTAGTTACTGTGTGTTCGAGGAGAGCCTTGTGTCCAGGAGGCTTGTTACTGGGGTTGTGGGTGGAGGGGTTGGGGGTGGGGAGTGGGCGGGGGCAGGAAGGATGCTGCAAAGGGAAAAGGCTCTGACTGTAAGGCCTGCGAGTTCTCACCTTCCTCGTGGCCTTTGATGTAGTTCACACTTACAGACATTTCTGAGAAACTACTCAGAATTTCAGAATAACCGAGTAATTTCTGAACAACTTGTCCGTTATTAGCAAAGTGGGTTTCTGTCCGTGACGGGAGACACTTGTAGATACCAGGAGAGGGAGTTGTGCCAGAGAATGTTCCCTTTGTCTGAGAACAGCTCCCCTCTGGTGGCTCTGAGCACCCCCGGCCTCTAACCTAACTTGTGACTTTCTTGATAAAGAGCTGATGATGCCAACATTCAGGAATCAGTGCCCTCAGAGGTGGCACAGGGGCCAGCGGGTGAGGGCACACCTTGGTGTCAGACAGGCCTCACCCCTTCCGAGCCGAGCGTCTTTGGGCCAGTTACTTACTCTGCCTGAATCTGCTCTCATCTGTACGAATGAGAGAACTATTAATACAGACAGCAGCCTCCCTCTTGTAAGGGTGCTGAGGACTAAATGAGTTAATGTGTGTGCAGTGCTATAGGCCAGTGATGGCGAACCTTTTGAGCTCGGCGAGCCAGCATTTTGAAAAACCCTAACTTAACTCTGGTGCCGTGTCACTTGTAGAAATTTTTTGATATTTGCAACCATAGTAAAACAAAGACATATTTTTGATATTTTATTTATTTAAATGCCATTTAACAAAGAAAAATCAACCAAAAAAATGAGTTCGCGTGTCACCTCTGACACACGTGTCATAGGTTCGCCATCACTGCTATAGGCCTTGGAAATAGGCTTGAACAGTATGATGATTTTGTCATCATCCTCACACTATTATTATTATTATTATTATTAGCACATGCACAGCCTTCCCTATACATTGTCTTCTAGGCCCTTTGGAAATTCAAGCATAAAGCCTTATATTTGCAAACACTCCCCAGTTCCCAGCCTGCTTCCCAAGTACATTATTCATTCCCATCACGGGAGTGGGGAGATGTTAAACAGATGCGCAGTGGGCGACTTGGAGTTGCTTAAGGGGCTGTGGGAATGGAGCCGGGCTGCCTCCGATCCCCGTCTGGTGCTGTGTCCCAGCTCCTGATCCTAGCAGCGCCTGGTCTGTCTCCACGGGGACCTGGAGCCTCAGGAGAACATGGGAGAAGCCGGGCCAGTGACCGGGGCATCTCTCCGCACTCCAGGGTCCTGGGGGCGTGGGGGGGCGGTTCTCATGGCTTCAGAGCCGCCTTGGTGAGCGCAGGCTCCTGTGCTTGGGGGGAAAGTGCCGGCTTAGGTGGAAGTCTGTCTTCATTGGACTCTTCAAAATTTCTTTTAATTGACTCGATGCTTTTTTTTCTTTTTGTTGTCTCCCCCGCCACAGTATGTAAATCCAGCATTTGAAACAACAGTGGGCTTTGAGTCGGGTGAATTATTAGGGAAGGAGTTAGCAAAAATGCCTCTAAATGAGAAAAAGGCTGACTTGTTCAGTACTAAAAATGCATGCATGAAGATGGCCAAGGTAAGTAAGAGGCTAGTCCCTTTTTGTTTTTCTTTTCCCGGGGGGGGGGGGGGGGGGGGGAGAGGAGATGGCGTGGGCACTGAGCATCGCACGTGCCAGATGCCCCGCCTTGCTCTTCACAGCAGGCGGAGGGGGTGGGAGTCTCCCTGTTGTTCCCAGTTTGCAGGTGAGGACACGGGCACAGAAGTACAGAGCATGATTCGCCAGCAATCAGAGTCACTTGAATTGACACTTCAGGTCATGGTTTTCATCTTTATAATAAGTTGATCTTTCTAATAATTGACCGAAGTGGTGGACATGGGCACATGGTTCTGGGTAAAGGATTGCCCATGAGGTGACACATTCTCAGAACACACCTGAGCCCCGCAGTCCTCTGAGCCTCGTTCATTCATTCATTCAGCATTTTTAAAAGTGCCTGCTATTGGTCCTGGCTGGTTTGGCTCAGTGGCTAGAGCGTCGGCCTGTGGACTGAAGCATCTCAGGTTGGAACCCAGTAGGGGGCGTCACAAGGCAGCCATCAATGATTCTCTTTTTTTAAAAAAATATATTTTATTGATTTTTTACAGAGAGGAAGGGAGAGAGATAGAGAGTTAGAAACATTGATGAGAGAGAAACATCGATCAGCTGCCTCCTCCACATCTCCTACTGGGGATGTGCCCGCAACCCAGGTACATGCCCTTGACCGGAATCGAACCTGGGACCTTTCCGTCCGCAGGCCGACGCTCTATCCACTGAGCCAAACTTGCTTCGGCCACCAATGATTCTCTTATTGATGTTTCCCTTTCTCCCTCTCCCTTCCTCTCTGAAATCAATAAAAATATTTTAAGAAATAAAAATAAAATGCC